AGCTTGCCATACTTCGTGTAGTCGGAAATGATTCTGTGGTTGCAAAACCCGACCTCAAGATGAGCAAACCACGAAAGAGGATCCAAGTCCCAAAAGGTGGGACTGAGAGAGATACAACGCTAAGTAGAGACTCTACCTTATGGTCTAGAGATTCCATGGCTTAAAAAGGACGCAAAAATTAGGCTACCGTATTCAAAAATAAACCGGGAAATATGAAAACTTAATGGAACGAGCTCACCGGAGAAAAGTTCGAACTATCCGGCGTTGAGATTGTTCCGGATTCGGGGTCACCAATTTAGAGGGTCGCCTGTACCGGGAGCCCAGAAAGCGATTCGGGAAGGCGGATCGAGTTGCAGGGAATCTTTTATTGGTACAGTAAAAGATTCCCTGTTATCTAGCTATAAAAGAACGACAACGTGGACGCTCTAGCTAGGGGAACGGAGCAAGCACAGCACAGAGGGCAGTTGCGAGTTGCAACAGTTTTGAACTGTGTTACTGTGAGTGCTGCGCGGTAACTTGACTTTTTGGCGTACCATACTGCTCGAGATTTTTAGTTGAATTAACGTGGAAAACAGTGTTTGAATAAACACTTGAAACGAAATTTGACTATTGTCAAATTTCCTCTGATCCAAGATATCTTGGATCGGTTAAAGCGGTTCTGGTCAAAGCGTCTTTAGCGCTTACTGGTAGCTTTTCCAGTTTTTCCCAGTTTTAACCCCGTTTTGCACCCCGTTTTTTGCCTTTTTATTGTGGTCGTTCAACTATTGCATACGTGTTATAATCACTCTGTTTTCCACTATGTCGGTCTCGCAATGCACCGAGGCTGTTGTTCCTGATGACTCGGATTCTGAGGTTATCGCACTTTGTGGCGGACCAAGCTGCAATGTACCAGTAACTGACGATTCAGGCGGTATGCAATGCGATGTCTGCAATCGATGGTACCATCAGCTTTGTACGGAGCTAAATACCGAGCAGTACGCAGCGCTGGCCTCTAGCGAAAAGTTGCTGTTCCGTTGTGCCAATTGCTGCAGCCGCCTGCAAGGCCGCACAGCCTTTCGTGCAAGAGATGAATCTCTTAATACCCGGCTGCGAAATGTAGAGCGTTCGTTCTCGATGCTCTCTGATCTTCGCTATAAAATTGGTCTGCTTATGACTACGCTTCCGGTCTCCAACAAAGCAGATTTGATCGCTTACACTGATGAAGGAGCGGCGCGCGCTTTGAAATTTTGAAGAAGCTCTATCTTGAAGTTTATACCTTCAAATTTGGCTTGGAAGCGTGATCTAAACTGACTGAGTGGGTAATCTTTACTCTGCTCCATCAAATATTGATCCAGAATATCTTGGATCTTCGGTAACCGCGTGCGTTTGTTCCAGTATTGCTTCTCTTTTTGGTCGTGTTAATTCGCTGTGTTTATATTTTTAGTCAATATTGTTGTATTCTCTTTTGTATTAACTTGTTTTGACTACTTATTCATCTTAAGCCGTCATACCTGCATTAGTTTGGTCAGTTAATCCAACCAAACTACCTATCTTTATTATTCTATACGGAGCTGTTACGTGCTATTTGTAATGACATCGGTGGCTGGCCATAAATGTGGTGAGCACACTTGTGGCGTTGAGGTCAAAGAGGGAATCCAGTGCGACAGATGCTTGTTATGGTACCATAACAACTGCTCTAGATTAGACCAGGACTCTATTGATCTTTATGCCCGACATTCCCAATTAAAGTGGATTTGCTTCCACTGCGTGTGCTTAGCAGACATTGGTTCTCGATTGATACACGATCGGACTTTTGATTCAGTTACTCATGTCTCAGATGTGCATGAGTCCGCTAGTAGGAACTGTGTGCATAGACTAGACAGTGCCGAAAAGTTGATTCGTGACCAGAACTTGCTAATTGAGACATTGCGTTCAAAAGTTGAAGAGTTGCAGTCTTCATTGGAATGTTACTTGCGAAGTGCTGAACTTGCTATGTGTAGACAACGAAACGTTCTTATCTACAATAGGGAGGAGCCAGTCATACGAGAAACTAGAACTCGACGGGACCTAGACAGAAGGCGAGTGCACGATATCCTTCGTATAGCCGGAATACCGTTATACGTTGGTATCAAGAGAGTACATCGTGTTGGCAGCTGGAGAGAAACAAGTATGCTCCGCCACCAAGGTTATGCAAGGCCTATCCTGGTTGAGTTTCGGAACCCTATACACCGGGACCTTCTACTTAACAGGGCTGGATTGGTTGCAAGTCAGACAAATGGTCGGTATCAAATAGCACCGGACACACTAACTTCGAAGGCTAAAGCCCCTCGGCTGAGCCGGTTAGAAGATACTAGTACCAGCTTGGCTAACGAATCTACGGTCTCACACGTTGGAATTCATGATAGTGAGCCTCACGTTATGCAGACACCTAAGAAAAACTCTAGCGTTTGCTCTCCTGTGGCAAGAGCAGTCAGCTTGTCTGGACAACCCCCTTCACAAGACGCCAGCGAGATAACTCCTGGCCTGCATTTGGTTGTGGAGAAACTTGCTCTTGATGGAAATGTGAATCACACCTCTATGGCGGAAGAGGGCAGTGAAGGTGTGGCAATGGGACTTCAGCCGGTGCGTTCAAAAACAATCGAGGCCTCATGCTCGACAGTAGTGGCACCAAAATCCATGGGTGGTATGCCCTTTTCACAAAAATGGTAGGATAAATGAAAAACTTGCCACACCTAAATTGGACCGTACAGATAATCCGAAGTGCACTGCTGTTAGGTCGACTCAGGTAAATGGGAGGAAACCCATCGGGAGTTTATCCAGCAAGCCCAGGCGGGCGAAGCCAGGAAAGGGATTATCCCGTAATGCGTTACAGCAGCCCAGCGTTGATTCATCGACTCAGGCAGCTGATCGAAATGAAATGGTACAAAAAACGGGTTATCCCCTCGGGCTCTACGTCCGAGGGGAAACAACCGCGTTCGGA